CTAATCCCGGTCGATGGTAGATATGGAAAACCCCAACCACAAGGGGGTTTTCCAGGGCCATTGCTCCCTGAAACCTCTCTGAAGGGGCCAGGTTCTGGCGCTGGTCCCTGGTAGGTCTGAACTCCTTAGCTAATGTCCCGGTCTAATATAACATACATTAGCCCGATAAGCTCCAGGGAGCCGTAGGGGCTCCCCACAGAAAAGTGATAAAGCCCTAATCTGGTCCCTAATCATCAAAACAACCTAAAGAGATTTAAGAAAATAGAGTTTGAAATCTGTGAAAAAATCAGCCCAAAAAAATTCAATGTCCCAAGTTCTGCCAGTTGTGACTGATTTATTTGTTGACCAATTTCGTTCTATTTTTACATAGTTGGGGACAGGTATGCACACTCCAGGATACATAGGTTACAACAAAATCAGATAATAAACAAAGGAGATACACAAAAAAATATTTTTTGGACATTGGTGAAAGTAACAGATAAAAACATTGGTCAATGTATTTTTATGATATTTAACAAAATAAAGCATAACAACATACTTAATCATAATTACTTGTTTTATTATCTATTACTCAGCAATGCTATAAAGGCATCAGCTGCTTATCCACTTTGTGGACACTTCTTACTACTATTCTTTTTCTTTATGCATCAGACAGGTGCTTGCATCTCTATTACTGCATAATCCCTCAGTTCCAGTTAATAGCTGTTCTCCTTATTAACAAAATGATCTTTTTTAACCACTGCACTGTGCAACGCGCTTTGAGGTTCTTGACGGGTGGTGCGCAATGCACCTCAGGGATCTTATAGGTACAGTATAGTGTATGATTGCAAACCACCTTAAGCCCATCATCACACAGCAAAAATCTGCTATCAGAATAATAACTAACTCTGCTTTCAGACAACACTCAGCTCCCTTGTTTAAATCTCTAAACTTGCTAAATATCAACTCCCTCCACACATTCTCTTGTGTCAACTACATTTACAAAACCCTGTTCTTAAATGCAAACCATGCTCTGAAACTCTCCCTGGACAGATGTAATAGGACCCATTATCACCACACCAGAAATAAATATCTCTTTGATATCCCCAGGGTCAAACTTAATCTGTGTAAACACTCTATGCAAATTAAGGGACCTAGTCTATGGAACTCACTCCCTAGTGAATTGAAAAACTGTAAAACTTTTGCCTTATTTAAAAGCAAAACCAAAAAGTACCTAACTTCATCTATTTAGTTTCCTACACTGAGCTTTAAATTTGCTCTGTACCTAGAGTTACCCAATCTCCTAATTTTTATGTAATATCAAACAACCTTATCATTGTGTTCATTGCTGTCTTCTTTTATGTGCTAGCCATATGCTGTATTGTGACTACCAATTTTTTGTCAACTACCATTCAAGCTGTCATTGCAATCAATCTTATATTGTTAAGACTGTATTGTGCCTACCAATTTGTTGTCAACTACCATTTTAAGCTGTCATTGCAATCAATCATAGCTACCTATGTGCTTTAATATACTGTACCTATAATTTTCTCTCATCTTTTTTTTCATTCCATGTAATCTGTTATCATTTTTTGTCTATAAATTTTGCAAGTATTTACCTCCTTAAAATTTTCTTAGATTAAGGACCTGCCCGAAACGCTGCGCGTGCTAGTGGCTTTACAAGACTGTAATTACCATATTTGTATCCTCACATTCCTTATGTACATTCTTGTATATGCATAAATAAATAAATAAATAAATATGATTCAAAACTCCCGCGGCTACATGGGGTTCACATCAGCTCTCTTGTAAACAGACACTATTTTGAAAATAAATCATAGGCAACATTCCTGGGTATAAAAGCCTCAGTATTGAGTGAGCAACCAAGGCTGATGCACGCAGCATGAGCTCACAGCACTGCTGTTCAGCTTGTGACCACAGCATCGCCTAATAATGTCAAAATATATATGTAATTGATATTATTTTGCCATGATAGTATTACAGGAGAGCCTGAGTGTGATAATGACTGTACAATGTTCAAATATCAGGGAATCAATGCTGTTCAAGATGTTCACAGCACTAGCCACAGCACCACAGCATTATTTCGTCCATCTATTAATCTTCAAATGACTTCTTATGTTCCTTTATTTTAATTAAATTATTCATTTACAGGATTTAGTGACCCGGATTGTGAATAGCAGGATTTTGGTGATAATTAGCGATGTGTGTAGTATTGTGGAAGGAGGTATTTTGGTGAGGAGGAAGGGAATCGAGGTAGCGTCACTGTGTGTGGCAGCTACTCGTTTGGGCTCACCATACTAGCTTAGTGGTTCGCTATGGTGAACACAAATGTAGATACTTATTACACTATATACACATGTTATACAGGTATATAACAGCAAACAGGAGTATGTAGGGAGGAGTCATTTTGGTGAGGGAGGTGGCGTTGTACTCGAAGCGTCATCTACTGTGTGACTTGTCATGCAGTGTATGATGGCCACTGTACTGTTTGGACACAATACCAGCTTAGTTGTATAGTTATGGTGAATAAAACATGTAGATACTTATATATAACGTGTGTAAATAGTGTAATAAAAACAATAACAGTATGGTGGGAGGAGGAATGTTAGCGAGTAAGGTGTTGGAGGAGTGAGGGAGGGCTGGCTGGGTGTGGGCAGCTCACTCTTGTTTTTTGGGCTCACCATACCAACTTAGTGGTTCATAATGGTGAACACATATGTAGATGGGTATATACAATGTGTGTGTATATAGTGCAATAACAGCAAAAACACTATTTGATTGATCGTTGAATATAATATATATATCACATATATGAGCCTCATAATTTTGAGCATAGCGATGTTCCACACTTTGAACTATATAAATTCCACAAATTATACACTTGTTATATTTATACACCTGTAATATTTTATTGAAAAATATTACAGCAAAAAAACCCAGAAGAAACGAATGAGAAACATCAAAATATTTGTGAAACATTAAATTCGTGGCAACTGTCACCCCACAGGGTGGTGGGGCCGACTGACCTTGAGCGCTCCATTGCTCAGCGCCCATACATGGTTGATACCTGGTTGATGGGGTTCTGAGAGTTCTTCTACTCCCCAAGCCCGGCCCGAGGCCAGGCTTGACTTGTGAGAGTTTGGTCCACTAGGCCGTTGCTTGGAGCGGCCCGCAGGCCCACATACCCACCACAGCCCGGTTGATCCGGCACTCCTTGGAGGAATAAATCTAGTTTCCTCTTGAAGATGGCCACGGTTGTTCCGGCAATATTTCTTATGCTTGCTGGGAGGGTGTTGAACAACCGTGGACCTCTGATGTTTATACAGTGTTCTCTGATTGTGCCTATGGCACTCCTGCTCTTCACTGGTTCTATTCTGCATTTTCTTCCATATCGTTCACTCCAGTAAGTAGTTATTTTACTGTGCAGATTTGGTACTTGGCTTTCCAGTATCTTCCAGGTGTATATTATTTGATATCTCTCGTCTTCTTTCTAGTGAATACATTTGGAGGGCTTTGAGACGATCCCAATAATTTAGGTGCTTTATCGCGTCAATGCGTGCCGTATATGTTCTCTGTATTCCCTCTATTTCAGCAATCTCTCCTGCTCTGAAGGGGGAAGTGAGTACTGAGCAGTACTCAAGATGGGACAACACAAGTGACTTGAAGAGTACAACCATTGTGATGAGATCCCTGGATTTGAAAGTTCTTGTAATCCATCCTATCATTTTTCTGGCTGTCGCAATATTTGCTTGGTTATACTCCCTAAACGTTAGGTCGTCAGACATCATTATTCCCAAATCCTTTACATGCTGTTTTCCTACTATGGACACATTTAATTGTGTTTTGTATCCTGTATTATGTTTAAGGTCCTCATTTTTACCGTACCTGAGTATCTGGAATTTATCACTGTTAAACATCATGTTATTTTCTGATGCCCAGTCGAAAACTTTATTAATATCAGCTTAAAGTTTTTCAATGTCTTCAGCCGAGGTAATTTTCATACTGATTTTTGTCATCTGCAAAGGATGATATGAAGTTGTGACTTGTATTTTTGTCTATATCTGATATGAGAATAAGGAAAAGCAGCGGTGCAAGGACAGTACCCTGAGGTACAGAGCTTTTAACTGCGCTTGGACTAGATTTTATATGGTTGACTTACTCGCCGAGTCCTGTTTGACAGGAAACTGAGTATCCAGCGTCCTACTTTACCGGTTATTCCCATTGACTTCATTTTGTGTACTATCACGCCATGGTCACATTTATCGAAAGCCTTTGCAAAGTTTGTGTATATCACATCAGCATTCTGTTTTTCTTTTAATGCCTCAGTGACTTTGTCGTAGTGCTCAAGTAGCTGTGAGAGGCACGATCTTCCCGCTCGAAATCCATGTTGGCCTGGGTTGTGAAGGTCATTGGTCTCCATGATATTGGTGACCTGACTCCTAATCACTCTTTCAAATACTTTTATTATGTGCGATGTTAGTGCAACTGGTCTATAATTCTTTGCCAATGCTTTGCTCCCTCCCTTGTGTAGAGGGGCTATGTCTGCTACTTTAATTTATTGTTTACTGCTACTGCCATAATTTGCTCAACTTCCTAGCTCCATCACGGCTAAAGTATGTCACATACAATATTTTTTTTTTTTTTAGTTTCCCATGATCAGAGACTATTTTAACAATATTAGAAGAGAAAATAATTTTTGGGGAAGAATTTATTTTTGGCACACCATGGGTCTGTTATATTTTAATGCAGAACAGTGCGGTGGTTAAAATTTTTTTCTAAAATTCATTTCTGAAAATATTGGGATGACACTTTCACGACGTTGAAGTCAATAAGTTGGAGATTTGTTTAACATTTAATATTAATTTTCACATAATTCAAATATTTTTTCCCCCAGCCCCAGCTTATACTCCCATTTACAGCCCAGGCTGTAGCAGTGTAAGGGTTAATAATGTTGTGGTTATTCTGACATGAAGGATTATGCAGTAACTAATTGTAATTACCATTAGCCAAATTCAAACTATTAGTAGTACTTTTTTTTCGTTCTTCATCTACTTTTATTTTCTTTTTCAGTGGTATAACTTGTTGTGGTACGTCGTATAGCAGCTGGTCATGTTGAGCGCTCTTGGCCTTCTCTTGCTTGTTCTTAGTGTGTGCTGAAAAATATAAATTGTTGAGTAATATATTTTTAGCATAATTTTCATCGCTTAAATTTCTTGCAACCCTCAAAGTGTGATTATCATCAAAATAATTCACCTGCCTATACATAAAAGAATCCAGCATTGAATGTAATGAAATGCTTCTTTCTGGTGGGCCACCCTCGGTGGCTACATGGAGCTATCCCACCACAGAACACAGTTTATACAGAGTATAAACAGGGCTCAATAGGAGCAGAGGGGCAGCCAATAACAACCGAAAAAGGGAGGAGGGATCAGTGCTGAGGAAACCTTGACTATCACCACTCAATCCATACAGTCCAGGAATATTCACAAATTATCGTGCCACAAAAACCAGAGCAAGAATTTCAGAACAAGACATGTTTGAAAAAAAGATGAACAAACCAACATACTTGAGTAAAACATGGGCCCATCACACACTACAGACTGGCCAAGCTGAACAACACTGTGGATAGCCTGAGACAAACACCCAAGAACACCAGGTGCATACCAAGTGGCCCATAAATAACAGCAAACCACCACAACAGGGCAAAGTACACCCCAAGCCGAAACCAACTAAGAATCAATAACAAACATGCTCCTTTAGCCCTCTCATTCTTACCCAGAATAGAATGTCGCAAGCAAGGAACATGCCTCCAGGGACAAAACAAAACTATGACTACCAATACAAAGACTTTAAAATGAGATCACAAAACAAAGGGGACACCAGTGTTGAATGTAATGAAATGCCAATTTCTGGGTAAGCCCTGGTGGCTCCCTGAAGCTACAATGCTGGTAAATGTCAAACAACTACGTGCCATCAGTTGCAGAGGTTTCTCTGGGGGGAGCCCCTTCGGCTCCATAGAGCTATCCGGGCTGATATGAATGTATTAGACCCTGGTATCAGTCAAGCAAATGGAGTTCTTAGGCTTACCAGGGACCAGGAGCCAGAACCTGGCCCCCCTCAGAGAGGCACGAGGAGCAATGGCATATAGAAACCCCCATGTGATTGGAAGCATTATATGTCTGCTATCCACAGGGTTAGGAAACCAAAAAGGTAGGCATCCCAAAAAAGATCCCAACTTCCTCTTCGGGTTTTTTTGTGGTTCAGTGCCTTTGCGCCTACCCGAGCCCTTGCTCGATGTGTTCACGGATGCATCGTCTCTTGGCAGGGGCTTTGTGACCAGTGCTCACCAGGCCGGCCAGGGGCGGAGTCTGTCCTTTCGTCGAGCCCCCAGCACGGTGCGGAAGTTTGGGGAAGGGGGTGGGGGGCGCTTCAGAGGGTTCGGGTAACTCACGGATCAAAGATCCGGCTCCATTCAGACTGCTCCCCAGTTGTTCATTGTCTGAACCACGGGAGTGGCGGGGGGGGCTTTCGATGTGGTCCTTGGCTCTTTGGAGCTAGTTGCTTCGGGTGACTCGTCTGCCGAGTTCTCGGGGTTTGTCTCTCTTGGCCGTTCACGTTCGGGGAGTGTCCAACGTCCTGGCAGACGGACTGTCTCAGTTCATTTCCCTGTCCACGGAAGGGACGGTTGATGCCGATTCGTTCAGTTGGGTTTGCCAGACGTACGGGCTCCCGGAGGTGGACCTCTTCGCGTCGATGCCTTCAGGCAGGGCTGGTCAAGGTGGAGGTTACCTGTACCTCTTTCCCCTGGTTCTGCTGTTGCTCCAGGTCCTTGCTCTTTTGGAGAGTTATCAAGGGAGAGTAGTCCTCTTGGCCCCTTGGTGGCTGGCCCAGCTTTGGTTTCAGGCGCTGCTTGCTTGGTGTCCGAACCCGGGGGTCTTCCCGTGGCTCCACCTCTTTCAGCAAATCAGCCCAGTCTGTTACATTCGATCTTCTCAAGTCTTCGCGTCTGGTCTTCTTATGAGGGTCCATTACCATTTGTATAGTGAGCAGGTAGCTTCATTGATGGTGTCCCACCTGCATGTCTTGTCTCGGCGGCAGTATGAAGTTTCTTGACGGTCCCTTTGTAGGTTTTCTTCTGTTTCAGATCCGGTTGTCTTGTCCTTTCTGTCTTGGTTGTTTCCGGACCGTCATCTTATGCCAAATACTGTCACCTCGTATCGTGCGGCACTGGCAGAGCCGCTTCAGTTTGCGTTCGAGGTCGGATGTTACTTCTGCCCTATTCTGCAACTTATCTTGAGATCTTGAGGTTATCTTGAGATGATTTCGGGGCTTAGCGTTCCCACGGCCCGGTCCTCGACCAGGTCTCCTTTTTGTTACACATCCCCAGGGAAGCAGCCCGTAGCAGATGACTATATCCCAGGTACCCATTTATTCCTAGGTGAACAGGAACATCAGGGTGAAACTCTGCCCATTTGTTTCCGCTTCCACCAGGATCGAACCCGGAATTGTCTCGTGCATTGTTTCACCTCCGGCCTGCTCATGTGCCGCCTGAACTGTCCTGGTCATTGGACCAGGTGCACTCTTTTTCCATCTTCTCAGTTTGTTGTGGCCCCTACAGTTCAAGTTTGTTTTACGAAGTCTCTTTTCCTGTTGGTATTGGTATCTGAGGGTTGGGTTGGGGAGCTTCCATGCTCTCCTCCGGTGCAGGGGTTTCTTCTCTCTTAGTCCTGGTGGTAGGTTTGTTCGTTTGCAGCCATCTCCTTCTTTCTGGCAAAGAATGAGACTGCGGCTTTCTGGAGGGGTCCTTGGGTTGTTGATGCTTGGTTGGTTCGGCTGGGGGTGCATCATGCGTTGTGTCCGATTGTGACTCTTCACCGTTACCTGCGCGCCATGGCCACGGTGGCAGGGGACGCGATTTGGGTTGACCCGGTTTCCCTTCTTCCCTGTTCCAGGGCTTGGGTCTCCCAGGTCATCCGCAGGGTTATTTGGTGGATCGAATAACCCTGTTATCCGGCCAGCCTGTGGTCTATCCTCGTGCCCATAATGTTCATAAGTTTGCTACTTTGGCTGCCATCTTCGGTAACATGCCTTGGGCTGACATTCGGGCATAGGGATTTTGGAGGTTGAACAGGGTCCTGGCCGCTCACTACCTTGTCAATGTTTCTGGCCCTAGTTGGGCATGTGTTGCGTTGGGTCAGTGGCTGCAGTCGGCTGTCTCGACTTTGAGTTGAGGAGAGAGTGGCGACTGCCTCCCGGGTAAGTCCCTCTTGTTTATATCTTTGATTAAGTAGCTCCAGAGAGCCAAAGGGGCTCCCCCCAGAAAACCAGCGTTGAATGTAATGGAATGCAATTTTCTGAGTGAGACCCGAAGGCTCCCTGGCAACCATCCTTCCCTGCAGTCAGCAGTTTCGTGGGTATTTTGACATCCACCCTCAGAACTAACGGATTGGATAGCCTGCACAGCCGCTGTTTGTGTAGCTCCCCCCCTTCCCCCTCCCGGGGAGGGGGGAGCTACACAGACAGCAGTGCGATGACGGTTGTGACGCCATGAGGAGAGGAGCCGGTCGGCCGAGCGGACAGCACGCTGGACTTGTGATCCTGTGGTCCCGGGTTCGATCCCGGGCGCCGGCGAGAAACAATTGGCAGAGTTTCTTTCACCCTATGCCCCTGTTACCTAGCAGTAAAATAGGTACCTGGGTGTTAGTCAGCTGTCACGGGCTGCTTCCTGGGGGTGGAGGCCTGGTCGAGGACCGGGCCGCGGGGACACTAAAGCCCCGAAATCATCTCAAGATAATCATCTCAAGAAGCCATGCTCATTTTTCATTTGAGGAGTTCTGTCCAACAGTTTGGCTTTCAGTAGCAATAGTTTAACCAGATAGGCGCCCCAAAACAAACCCTTTCTGGGTGCTTGACCCAGTCAATGGCAGGCATAGAATGCTCCCAACCACATGGAGGTTTCTATAGGCCATTGCTTCTTGTGCCTCTCTGAGGGGCCCAAGTTCTGGCTAGTGGTTCCCGGTAGGCCTAAGAACTCCATTTGCTTGACTGATGCCAGGGTCTAATATATTCATATCAGCCCGGATAGCTCTGGGGAGCCTCCGGGTCTCGCCCAGAAAATGGCATTTCATTACATTCAATGCGTTTTTTTTAGGTCTACCGTAGACCATGAGCCAGAACCTTGCCCATCTAAAGAGCCCACAGAGAGCAGTGGCACTATGATAAAATTGTCAGTGAGTTTTATTCATGTCTGCTACTTCTGGGAAAGCACTCAAGCACGTCCCAAGTCAGCAAGATAAAACAGACCACTGCTGTTATAAGGAAATAAATCCCCACCCTGACCAGTCCAGCCAAAACATCTACCGCGAGGCTTGCAATCCAGGAATGGCATTGCAGAAGGAAGGTGCCGCAACCAGGCCAACGTGAAGAGGTCCGTGTCTAGGTGCCCAAAAGCCCGGCAGAGCCAAGGAAGAAGTTGGTAGTGACAGCTCACACCGTGGAGATAGGACAGGACTGAGAAGACCAACGGCCAGGATGCTGGACACTCCCCCCTGATAGGAACAGAACGGAGAGCCAACCCCAAGAAACCAGGAATTGACCTACATGTAGAGTTCAGCTCCAAGAGACAGGGACTGAAAAGAACTCTCCTGGTTGAGGAAATGAACTATCGACTTACGATAGTGTCGTCGACTAACGATATTTGTTGGCACACGTTCATTCTATTTTTTTGGTGATTTTTTGCTTTTTGAACATAAAACTAATTATAATATATCATGCCATGGGTCCCAAGAAAGTCAGTGGTAAGGTTCAACATATGAAAACACATGAAAGGATGACCATAGAGCAAAAACATGAGATCATTCATAAATATGAAAGTGGTATGCGGGTTGCTGATCTAGTTAGGCAGTACACCAAATCTCAGTCAACGATATCCACCATACTTAGTAAGAAAAAGGACATTATGAATGCTAAAGTGGCAAAAGGTGTATCAATAATCACAAAACATAGAACACAAACACTTGAGGATGTTGAACAGTTATTATTAATTTGGATACACAGCAAGGAGTTACCGGGTGATAGAGTTTCAGAGGCCATCATTTGTGAAAAAGCAAGGAAATTGCATGAAGACCCTTTAAAGAAAACCCCTGGAACGAGTGATGCAAATGCAAAAAGAGTTTAAGGTGAGCAGGGGATGGTTTGAGAAATTTAGAAAAAGAAGTGGCATTCATAGTGTTCTAAGTGTTGTGTGTTGCGAGCTGGTGGAGGAACACAGAGAAGAACTGACCACTGAAGAACTTCGCAAGGAGCAGCAACAAGAGACAGCTAAGGAAATTTCTTCAGGGGAGGAGGAGACAGTACAGAATGTCCCTTCCTCATTAAGAAAATGTGTGCAGCATGGGAAGAATTGCAAACTTTTGCTGAAACGACTCGCCCAAATCACGGTGCAGTAGGGCGGTGTCTTAACCTTTTTAATGACACTGTGATGCCTCACTAGACAAAAATTAAAACGTATGGGAAAACAAAAATCTTTCGAAAGGTTTTAAGTGAGACAAATAAGTAGTGAATCACAACCAGGTCCTAGTGGTATGCAGGCAAAACGTAGGAGAGAGTATACCCCAAAGAAGTCATCACTGCCTGATGTTATAATGGAAGGGGACTCCCCTTCCTAACAGTAACACCTCTCCTCCACCCACCTCCTCACCATCTTCCATATGCATCAAGAGTCCTCCATAAAGGTAAGATAAACATATGTACTGTATTGTAGTTAGAAAAAATAATTGTACTCAGTATAAAATTCATTTTTAAGTTAATATTTTTGGGGGTTATTGGATTATACTGTAATCCCATTGGATTGGACGCCATTGGATTACAGGTAATCCAATTCCCTTTATTTCTTATGGGACAAATAGCTTCGACTTACAATATTTCGACTTACGATACGTCTCTGGGAATGGATTACCATCGTAAATCGAGGCCCCACTGTATATTATATTATACATATATATATATATATATATATATATATATATATATATATATATATATATATATATATATATATATATATATATATATATATATATATATATATATATATATATATATATATATGATTATAACTGTGAACGCCAAGAAATCCGGACTCCACCTGCCAAAGATCATTGGGGAATATAAACCTGGATATGCGTATGGAAATGTCAAGACACACAAGCCTGGAAACCCACTTCGGCTAATCATTAGCCAGATACCCACACCCACGTACAGACTGGCGAAGCGACTCAACGGCCTGCTGACTCCTTATGTTCCTTGCGCCTTCAGCCTGAAGTCTCCAAAGGAATTTGTTGACTTACTGCGGGGCACACGGGCCACAGGGATAAGAGCCTCGTTGGACGTAGAATCGCTGTTTACCAACGTACCTGTGGACGAGACAATCGGAATGATAGCCGACAGAGTGTATCGTGATCAAGCCTGTACTCCTCTTGACATACCAGAAAATATTCTGAGGAAACTACTCCAAGCTTGTACTAAAGAGGCACCCTTCTTGAGCCCGGATGGGCACATGTATAAGCAAGTAGATGGGGTCGCCATGGGTTCTCCCCTAGGTGTCCTGTTTGCAAACACCAGCAATCAACAGCCAATTATTGCACAACTATATTCTACCCACCTCAAGACTCCGCTCCAATATAGAAGCATCAAGAAATATGGACCAATAGGCTTTCTACAAACACTTCTATTCAATATCCATTGTTTCGTGTTCTGTCTTGTGTTGATGAAATTAATACCCTATTAATACCACTTCTTGTTCTGTCTTGTGTTGATGAAATTAATACCCTATTAATGCCACATCTTGTTCTGTCTTGTGTTAATGCCACATCACCCTTTCCACCTCACTCAAATGTAGATATAAAATCGGAGATGCGTAAGTTCTATTCAGTTGTGTATCTGTGAACTAAAGTCTTTGAAAATGTAATAAGTTTTACGAAACGCGCTCGTGTCGCGTCAGACTAGAAATAAAAATGAATTTTGGAGAATTGATTTTTGATTTACCTCCAACAGTGAAAAGAAATGTACGAAAGATTGAGAAAATTCGTGTTAGAATTATTAATCTTACTTTTTCGGACATATTTAATAATATATATATATATATGTATATATATATATATATAGACTGAACTAGTTTATTGAGCAACATATACTTATCCTCTGAACAGACAAAGGCTTTAACAAGCCAAAACGTTCACTTCCTTTCACATTTCTCTGTGGATTTACCACATATACATATACATATACATATACATATATATATATATATATATATATATATATATATATATATATATATATATATATATATATATATATATGGGGACACCTATAATCAATCATTTACCATTAAACAACAAGATCATAACAGATATTTACCATAATAAAACCAACTAACAAGACTTTCCTCAACCTCTTTTGAGAGGCCGCTCCCAGGTAATATGCCCTTCACCGTCCTCTGGCTGCACTCCTTGTAATACACCGTAGCAAGGTGGTAGCCACCCCCTCTTAACTTGGCACTCTGAAACATGAATAGTTATTTGACATACACAGTATTTGCATAAATGTTGTTCTCGTTTGTGAGTGGTAGTTTACTGTGCATCCCATACTCTTCCTGTGCACCTGATACTCATCCTGTGTGATAGTTTATTGAGCACCATATACTTATCCTGTGAACAGTAGTTTATCTTGCATCCTACACTCATCCTTTAAACAATAGTTTATAGACCTACTCCTGTAAACTAGTGGATTTAGTAAACTAGTATGGGAGTGCATTAAGAATTGTTTCAGCACCCCCATACCCATCCTATGAATGCTTACCTATCACTGACTATGGGCGAGCAAAATGTAGCTCTTTATGCCTCATCTCCCAACCGTTCATACCTAGCACGCTAATTACCCCTCTCAATATTAACATTTTAATCACATTTCTTTTTAAACACTGGGCTCCTCAGCCTCCAAATACGGCACCCCCCCTCCTCCCCAGTGCGTAGGAAATAAATTCTCTATAAAAAAATTTTTTTGTTTTCGAAAGTGTCAAAAACCCTACCCCGAGTATGGATATGTTAACAAAAAGTCGAAATTATACTTACTTTGTCTGCTATAGGGTCCGTAAGTTGGCACATGACGTTATCAATCCCTGGTTGCCCGTGGCGTACGCTCCCGGGGCCAGTAGGGCACTCAGCTCAAGATACGTGAGTTGCTACGAATATATTTTTGTTCATATTTTGCGCACAGTTCCAAATACATTTTATTTGTTTTTTCGTGTCAATCCTATGTATAATGAACACGTACACTATATTTGGCAATAGAACATCCGTATTGTCTGAAGGCACTGTGTTACGTGCATGACACATGTGTACACATATCATGCACATATTTCCAATGTATCATGCTAATGTATATAAATATACAATCTATTTATACACTGTACAGTAACACAACACCATCGTCGGAGTGTGGAGTGGCGATTTCAGCGCCATCTATGGGTCTGCACTCCAACTCCCTGGTATTGGGTGCTACGCAGACAACACCATCTGTTGGTGGTGGCATGGTATCAGTGAATGGTTCCGGTTTCCTGCCTCAGTCAGAATGTGAGGTCAATGAGGATGACCTCTGGTGGGTGGTGTATCAAGATCAACGCCATCTAGGTTGTGGCTTCAAGTTACAATTTCAATTCCCTGGTGGAAGAGTGTTATCCCAAGGTCACCCAGTGAATTGTCCGTCTAAGTAATGACGTTTTATATTCACAGAGGTGATGTAAGGATGTGGTTGCACTGAGGAAGGCAGTTCACCTTAGGCAGTCCTGAAATCCTGACTTGGTCCTGTGTGAGGACTAAGTGGCTGCCAGTTAGAGCAGTGTGTTAGCTGCTGATGTATGCAGTGTAGCATGGGATGACGTACCCAAGATTGGCCAGGAAGAGTTACACGATGACAGTGGTGCGTCCGTCGAGAAGTACTGCTAGCAAGCCACTAGAGACTTCTGCCAGGGTGTTAGCTACCTCTGTATGTGATTGTTTGAGATCCCTATCAGTGTGTTGCTGAACCCTCTGCCAGTGTACCTGGAGAGGGGAGGTGAGGTATTGGCACATCGTGTATGCGATACGGTGTGTGTGGACTGGCTCATGTTGAAAGTGAACTCGCCGGTGTTTGCCCATAGGTGTGTACGACTTATACCTGGAAAGTGGATTCACCGGGATTGATGAACACTGCCAATGTATTGTGTCCTGCATGAAAGAGACATTATTGTAAATAGGTGTAGTAAATAAGGTGCCAGTGGATATTGTTTATCCCCCTTTTATTCTTTGCACTACTACTTGTCACAGCCTGTTTTTGAAAGCTTACCACCGACTTGTGGTTGGATAGAGAATAAGAGGTTATTACAGCAAGAACCCAGTTACTGGCCCAAAGTGGTCATAACACACAGTAATGGGCAAATGACATTTGTAGTGTGGTGCAGTGTAGTGGTTAAGGTCCAGCAAGCCATATATCTGCCCACTCCTGAAGGTTGTTAAGGTCTCCTTACAGCACCCTACAATCCTCTTCAGTTCTTACTCTCCTCATTAAATTTACATCATCTGCAAACATAGACATGCATGAGCTCACTTCCTCTGAAAGGTCATTTGCATAAATTTAAAACAGCAATGGTCCTAAGACAGCTCTGTGGAGTACCACTTTCCACTCCTCTCCAGCCTGACATTTTCTCTATGACCCTTTGTTTCCTGTCTTTCCAGTACTCCCATACCCAGTCTAGTGCCTTTCCTGTTATTCCCACTTGTCTGTTCATCTTGTGTATTAGTCTTTTGTGAGGAAGTGTATCAAAAGCTTTTTGAGTAATCTAGGAAGATGCAGTCTACCCCATCCTTCCATCTTATTGTGCACTCCATACTCATCTTGTGTGGTAGTTTATTGAGCACCATATACTTATCCTGTGAGCAGTAACTTGTGCACCCTATATTTACTCTGTGAACAGTAGGTTATTGAGCACCCTATATTCATCCAGTAAGCAGCAGCTCAAAAGGATTATAAAGGACACAAAAGATTTTAATCAGGACTTAGTGGATTTTATTAATATTGGTTTTTACAATTTATAAATACATCGGCCCATACCGTACAGCAGTGACCCGAGGTGCAGGGTATGGGAGGTGTTGGGGTGGCTGGTTTCAAGGTGGGGGGGGGGTTGTCAGGAGAGAGGTGAGAGTCAGGAGGGAGTATCTGGGGGGATGAGGACCTTGTGGAGGCGCATGTGGTTTTCCTTGATGACGCTTGCCAGACAGTTGTTTTTTCCTTTACGATTTTTCACTGCCTCTTATGTAGCAGGCATTCACAGTTATCACGACCAATCACAGATATTCAGGCATTCACAGTCACAACCAGTCAAACATTCACAGTTGCAACTGGTCACAGGCAGCCACATTCAGACACGACCACGCAGGCATTTACAGTCAAAGCCAGTCACAGTAAGTAAACAATATGAGTGTGATGTCAGGTTCTCAGCCAATCTCTGCCTTCCAAAGACTCCCGGGGCCACTAGCTAGCAGGAAGCGCCCATACGGTATTAGTAATTTCGTCTACCCACCTAGATGCGGCTGGAGGGGTGAGGAATAGGCAGCTGGGAGAGACTGGTGTGAGGATGGGGGTTGGGAGGAAGCAGGGAGGGACAGTGTGGGGGATGAGTGGGGAAAGGATGTAGCTGGAAGGGCACCTGTGCTTGTCCAAGTCTGATCCACTTGCCCTTTGCTGCCCGCCAGCCTGCCCATCCAATCTGCCACCTGCCTGCTCACTGCTGCCCGCGTGCCCACAGCTTCCTGCCCACCACCCTGCTACTCACTCACACACCCATTCTGCTCCCAGCCTGCCGGCTCTGCAACCCCACCTGCCTGTTCTGCCACCTTCCTGCCCACCCTTTGCTGTCTGCCCTGCTACTCACTCGCATGCCCACGCTGCCACCTGCCCACTCGCTCTGCCGCCTGCTGTACACCCGCAACAGCTTCCCACCCACCTTCAGCTGTCTGCCTCACTCGCCCACTCACTTTGCCATATGCCCACCTGCCAATCCTCCTACTATGCCCGCCCTGCCACCAACCTTGTTACTCTATGTGGCCTATCACCCACCTGCCCACTTTGCCACCTGCTCTTTCTGCTGCCTGCTTGCCCAAATCCACTATGCCCACACACACCTACTCTACTGCCCACCCTGTCCCCTGCTGCCTTCCTACCTAACCTGCCTGCCTGCTCAACAAGGTAAGATGCACTGTACTGTATGCAGCATCAATCAAGAAGATGAACTATAACATGGAAAGCTTTCTGTATTATGTATATAATTTAACTTTCTGTATAAGTTTCTGTATTAAATTACAGTACTGTATTGCTATATTTTTAAATTATAGTGTGGAAATTCAAATTATGTTGGTTGTGGTACAAAATTTTTTACATTTGTTTACTTTTAGACTTTCTCGGTAAGAATTCTGCTTATCCGGCAGGCAATCCTTCCCATATAATTTGGATAAGCGAGCTTATACAGTAGTTAGTCTATATATTCAACATCAGTACATTAATTATAATTATATGTTTGTCTTGGGCAGCCAATGTTATTCAACTGATTTTGTATTCATGTACGTGAAGGTGATAATACCTGTACTATATTGAACAGCCAGTAAACTTTATGGTAGTGTACTTACATGCTTCTTAATAGCAGTGAGTGACCTGGCAAGAATTCTGTTGTTAGCAGCTTTTTTCCCACTTTCCATTTGGCGTGCTTCCTTTTCCCGCTCAGCTTTACGCCTGGCTTCAATGAAGCTGTAGCCACAATCACACAAGTGTCTTCCAACATTTATTGTAATGTTACATGTTGGACAGATCCTTTGAAAGCGTTGTTTCAGGCCTGAAAAAATAGTGGTCTAGAGTGTAATGAAATGCCACATTCTGTGGAGCATATCAGTGATTCTCTAGAGCTTATGATGCTGGCACCACAGGGCCACATCCAAACATCAGGCTCCAGAAATTTTCCAGCCTACCAGAACTGACCCTCTGAAAGAGAAGAGGGGAGCATGTAAGATAAAAAATCCAGTGTTGAATGTAAGGAAATGCCTCTTTCTGATGCTTCTCTTGGTGCCTCTCTGAGCTACCCACCTGGTAATATGCAAACCTACATTACCATACCAGACTCAAAGATTCATAAGTGTGCATCAGAAGCCAGGACTAGAATCTGACCTCTTGATAAACAATTCAGAAGGAGCACGAGCAACTTAGAGGAGAGAAGGCTCAAATATAGAAAACGGTGAAGAAAAAGGCCAAGTTAACAACAACCAAGATAAGCTCAGCTAAAGCCAAATGAAAAGTGAAGACCTAGACAACATGAGATGATCAGCAGAGTGCTTTTCAGAAGTCTGAAAAGATGCAGTTTACTAATCCTTTCTTCTTGTGTTTTATTTTGGTGAGCCTCTTGTAGAATTAAAGCAAGTTTGTTAAGCATGATTTTCTCTCTGAAGCTGTGTTGTACATCGGGTATAAACTTTAAGTTCGTCAAATGTTCTACAATCAATTTTCTCACGACTTTTCTAGAACCTTGCATGGAATGCACATTATTGACAATGGTCTATAGTTTAATGCTTCATGTCTGTTCCCTTTCTTGAATACTGGAACTACATTTGCCTTTTTTCAATTTCCCAGTAGCTCTCCTGTCTTTAGTGTAATGCTGAACACTACAGTTAGCGGTTAACTCAAGATCCCTGCAGCTTCCTTCAGTAACCATGGTTATATCTGGTCTGGTCCTACTGCTTTTGTTACATCTGGTTTCTCCAGATATATTTTTCCTCTTCTACATTAACTTCCATTCTGTCTAGTGTTGTTTCTGGTTATGAGTTGTCATCCAACTTGGACACCAATCTGGTTCTGGTTTAAAGACCTCTTGGAACCTCTTGTTGAGTTCTTCACACACTTCTTTGTCATTCTCCAAGAGTGTTCCTCCTTGTTTGCATAGTCTAATCACATGGTCTTGTTTTGTTGTTTTCTTCCATATGACTGTGCAGCAACTTAGGTTGGCTCGTTGCTTTTGCTGCAATGTCATTCTCAAACTGCTGCTCTGCTGCCCTCCTGATTCTAGTGTACTTGTCCCTGGCCCACTTTGGGCCTTCCTATTTGTATCTGTACCCATGTCTACCTATCTTGTGTAGCTTCCGGGGATCAACGGCTCCGTAGCCCGGTGTCCGGGTCTCCCGGTTGGTCGTCTGATCAATCATGCTGTTGGTTGTCCCTATATTTTCTCCATGCTTATTGTGCTTTCTCCTTTTTCTCTTTACACTACTGTTCCATGGGTTTGCCATTCTCCTTTTGTCCACTTCCCTCCTCAGAGGTGTGAGCTATTTTGTTGTTTGTTTCCATTTCTGTGTTATAAGTTCCATCATCTCATTTGCTGAATTTCTTTCCATTTCAGTCTGCCAATGAACCTCCTGCAGATAATCTATAACCCCCTTTTAATGTTTTTCCTGCCCGAAACGCTTTGCGTAATAGTGGCTTTAGGCATTGTATGTACTAGCTCTATCTATAAAGCCAACAAACTTTGTAAAATCTCTTTATGTATGTACCTTACCTAAATAAAAATTATTATTATTATTATTATTATTATTATTATTATTATTATTACTTTTAGTCCCCTCTTCTGTATTCTCGTTTGCGCTTTGTCCTATTTCCAACGCCTCTTTCAGTTCTACAATGTAATCAAACAATAATGCAGTGGTCACTGGCTCTTAGTGATACCTCATTTAAGTTCTCAATACAGTGGGCCTTGATTTACGATTTTAATCTGTTCCCAGAGACGGGTTGTAAGTCGAAACATAGTAAGTTGAAACGCATTTTCCCATAAGAAATAATGGGAATTGAATTAATCCGTTCCATACCCCCAAAAATATTAACTTAAAAATACATTTTATACTGAATACATTTTTTTTCTCTAACTACAAAACAGTACATAGGTTTATCTTACCTTTATCGAGGACTCTTGTTGGCGTATGGAAGATGGTGAGGAGGAGGGAGGAGAGGTATTACTGTTTGGAAGGGAAGTCCCTTTCAATTATAACATCAGGCAGTGATGATTTCTCTGGGGTACACTCTCCTACGTTTTGCCTGCATACCACTAGGACCTGGTTGTGGTTCACTCATTGTTTGTCTCACTAAAAATTTGTCCATGGAGATTTGTTTTTCCCCTTCATTTTAACATTTGTCTGTAGTGATGCCTCAGTGCCATTGAAAAGGTTAAGGCAATGGCCTAGTGCAGCTTGATTTGGGCGAGTCGTTTCAGCACAAGTTTGCAGTTCTTAACCATGCTGCACACATTTTCTTAATTTTTGAGGAAGGGACATTCTGTACTGCCTCTATGGTCATCCTCACATGTGTTTTCATATGTTGAACCCTACCACTGACTTTCTTGGGACCCATAGCATGATATATAATAATTACTTTTATGTGCAAAAAACAAAAAAACACCAAAATAATGGAATTTCTTACAAGCATGATCATCACTAAGTGGGTGGCTCTGGTAAACTGAGGCAGGTCGGCCCATGCCACCAGGATCCATGCGCTTGGTCGACCCGAACGCGTATCAACAAATATCGTTAGTCGGTGACATGATCATAAGTCGAGCCGCATTTTCCGACCAAATTTACATTGTAACTCGAAAAAATCGTAAGTAGGGGAAATCATAAGTCGAGAAGTCACTGTACCTTCATTTTGGGTAAACACCAGGTCAAGGAAGGCCAGTAGATCACCTCCTCTTTCTCGTGTCAGCTCACGAGAGAGTGTGTAGCAAACTTTCTGTGGTATGCTGTCACAGGAAGTGTTAGTCTGTAGCATCCACGAACCTTGTTTTCCATATTCCAGCTCCCTGGTGAGGACCCTTTGTTGACAAGTCTATTTCCCTGTAGTTAACACTTTCGCTGGGCTGGCGGGCGACCCATTGCACACCACAAGGTCGGCCGAGTATTACCTGTGAGCTCACCACAACACTCCGATGTTTAAACTTTTTTCAGCTTTCTCACCTCGATTTTTTTGCTACATCGTTCAATTTGATATCAAATTGTTCCCAATATAATTCTGTAAAGGAATATTTGCATATAAGAACACATAAGTCTCACTTTCCTATACAGTACTTTAGACTTGCCGTGCACTGCAAGGTAGCCCGAGCATTGCCCGTGAGCTCACAACTCCAATGTTTATTCTCTTTTCAGCTTTCTCACCTCAATTTTCATGCTACATCATTCAATTTGGTATCAAATTATTCAAAATAGAATGCTGTAAAGGGATATTTGCATATAAGAACATATGTCTCACTTTTCTATACTTTCGACAAACACTCAATATCTGTTCCCTCATATGTGTTTCTTTCTATGCTTTTGTCATGGATTGGCTATGTTCTTGATCAGTATCCATCTGGAAGTCAATTTGCAGTGTTTATAAAGCCAGTAACAACAAATATCCAAGATAAAAAAATGGAATAGGGAAAATTTTCAACTCAAGGGGAGGCCGCAGCTGTCACGAGTGAGGTCATGAGAACAGTGAGCCTCCAGCGTGGGTGGGCGCCCACACGGCGGGGTCAGGCTGCCACATGGGGTATACAGAGAATGGAAAGACGTTGGCGAACATTTTAAAACATGTCCCATAGTATTCGGACAATAAATTAATTTTTTTTTAATTTTTTAATTAATGACACCGTTTGCGTCATCACGCACTCTCCAAATTTTGGTTCTGTGATGTAATATGCATGATCAGGCAATGAAAGTGTTAAAATCCCTAAGTATTAGAACCTTTGCTTTAGCCCTCAAATGTGGCTGCTGTTACCATTATCTTCGGCATACCATTCTTCGGCATTGATAATATTCCTCTCTCGACCTTCCTGTCGGGGAACACCATGAGAAGGCATGGAGCAGAAAATGAAGGAACCGAGCGTGAAAAGACACAGGGTAGTAAATGATAAATGGCCACAAAGGAAAAATTAGAATGATGCAATCAGTAAGTCTCCAGTGTGGAAACCACTGAGAGGCTTAAAATACTGCGGAACCTCAGAAAGCGGAAAATACAACCGGGAAAGATTTCCCGGTTTTCGTTCACAAATATGGGCCTCCTAGAGCCATCTCCAGTTATAACGAAATCCTTGCTGCAATGAAGTGGGGGTTGGTCCCCACTTCATGAGCACTGCAACGAAGTCGTTGGCTGAATTGGGGTTGCACTTAACAAGGGAAGATTCAGAGTGTACACCCAGTAATAGACAAGCATGACTCAAGACTGATGTTAATATACCAACTGTGGTTATTAATAATTACATTTAAATAATGGAGATTAAATTAGCCAAATCCCAAATACACGTTTTCAATACCTTTAGCTCTGTTTCTTCGAGCAAGAGAACTGCTGCTGTGCTGCCACTCTACTGCCTCCCGTTTTTTCCCCTTGGTATGGGCATCAAAAGAGGCATGGAGCTCCGCTATCTCCTTACCAAGGTCGCTCATCTTACGTTACTATTGTAACTTGTGTAGGCTCTCAAAGAACACGTCTGGGGAGAAATAGTAAATTAAAATGCATATAATTTCATGTACATGACAGAATGACATTATTGTAAACATATATACAGTACTGACAGCATGACTGCTGTTGCTAGTTCTTGAACACATGACAGCAAGTGTATGGCAGGATGACATTTTGCCTTCCTTCTCTTTTTTTTTAACATTTCTAACCAGTTGGACGAAATCTTGTTTTAGACTGACTTCCCCATTCTTAATTCTTTTGTACCAAGCTTTTTTTTACCTATAAGTTTCTTCAGATCCACTGTTATGCATTTTGGGTCATTATTATTCGATACAATAAATTTGTATGGTATACTATACTCCTGTGCTTTGCTTAGAATATTTTTGAGTAAGTTATATTTTGAATCCACATTTCAATCCCTTGTTATGTCACCCATTGCTAGGTTCATGTCTCATTCCAAGCCCGGCAACCATCCCCCCCATGCCTAGATCTGTCCAATTTATTACACCTTAAAAACTTCTTAGCCCATTAAAATCAGCTTTTCAGAAATCTAGCACTTTAACAGAATTCTCTCTTACACCTATTCCATTCTATGCTAAATACGATTTCATTGTGATCACTGTTCCCTAGCTCACTCTCTATTTCGATGTCATTAATTTGTCTCCCTGTTAGTTATATTGGTTAGTTGGTATATTGTCCAGTATGAACATATTATTATGCCTATATGGGACATAATGTGGGGCATTGTCATGCCTTTCGAGAATACCTGGACAAAATAAGTGTATGGAGCACCACTTGAGAAATGGAATTTAATATGAATAAGTGCCATGTTATGGAATGTGGAAAAGGATAAAATTAGGCCACACAACCTACAATTTATGTGAAAAAGCTTTAACAAATTATGATAAAGAAAGAGATCTCTTTCAAGAGATTAATAATCTCTCAAGAGATTATTTTTTTTTCTTGCCTTGTAACTTTATCATTTTTTATAAATTTTGCAAGTATTTACCTACTTAAAATTTTCTTAGATTAGGGACCCGCCCGAAACGCTGCACGTACTAGTAGCTTTACAAGATTGTAATTACAGTACTATATTATATATCCTCACAATCCCAATGTACCTTCTTGTATAAATAAATAAATAAGTAAAATAAAATAAATCTAGGAGTGGTTCTAGATAGAAAATATGCCCAAAAACATAAATACGTTGTATGGTGCCCAAATGCCCATATCTTCAGAAGCACGTCAACAAACTGGAAAAGGTGCTTCAACTTCAGCACCTACATACAACACATAACTAAGAGTCTAAAACCGTTGGTATACTCTCAAAAATCAGATATTATGTACCTAACTCTACTCTCCTCTCACTATACTATGCACTAATCTATCCCTATCTTACTTATGGTATCTGTGCATGGGGGTTCAACCACTGCAAACTACAAAAATCTGCTATCAGAACAATAAGAAACTCTGCTTTCAGACATTTTATGCCCGAAACGCTTTGCGTAATAGTGGCTTTAGGCATTGTATGTACTAGCTCTACCTATAAGTCAAACAATCCTTGTAAATATTTATTGTATGTATGTACCTTACCTAAATAAAATTGTATTGTATTGTATATATACATCACTCAGCCCCCCCCCCCTTTAAGTCTTGAGGTGCTTCCGGGGCTTAGCGTCCCCGCGGCCCGGTCGTCGACCAGGCCTCCTGGTTGCTGGACTGATCAACCAGGCTGTTGGACGCGGCTGTTGGACGCGGCTGTTGGACGCGGCTGTTGGACGCGGCTGCTCGCAGCCTGACATATGAGTCACAGCCTGGTTGATCAGGTATCCTTTGGAGGTGCTTATCCAGTTCTCTCTTGAACACTGTGAGGGGATTGCCAGTTATGTCCCTTATGTGTAGCGGAAGCGAGTTGAACAGTCTCGGGCCTCTGATGTTGATAGAATTCTCTCTCAGAGTACCTGATGCACCTCCGCGTTTTAACGGGGGTATTCTGCACATCCTGCCATGTCTTCTGGTCTCATGTGATGTTATTTCTGTGTGCAGGTTTGGGACCAGCCCCTCTAATATTTTCCACGTGTAAATTATTATGTATCTCTCCCGCCTGCGCTCAAGGGAGTACAGATTTAGGCTCTTTAGTCGGTCCCAATAGTTTAGATGTTTTACTGAGTGGATTCTAGCAGTAAAGGATCTCTGCACGCTCTCCAGGCCAGCAATTTCTCCAGCTTTGAAAGGGGCTGTCATTGTGCAGCAGTACTCCACTCTAGAGAGCACAAGCGTTTTGAAAAGTGTCATCATCGGTATAGCATCTCTAGTGTGAAAAGTTCTTGTTATCCAACCTGTCATTTTTCTTGCAGTTGTGACGGCTACTTTATTGTGTTCCTTAAAGGTAAGGTCTTCCGACATGAGTACACCCAGATCCTTTACATTGCCTTTACGTTCTATGTTATGATTTGCCTGAGTTTTGTACGTGGTTTCTGTTTTTATATTTTAATTTTTTCCATAGCGCATGAGCTGGAACTTATCTTCATTAAACACCATATTATTTTCTGTAGCCCATAGAAAGACCTGATCTACATCTGACTGGAGGTTTTCTGTGTCCTCTATGTTGCCTACTCTCATGAAGATCCTAGTGTCATCTGCAAAGGATGATACAGTGCTATAGGTTGTGTTCTTGTCTATGTCCGATATGAGGATGAGAAAAAGTACTGGAGCAAGCACAGTACCCTGGGGAACTGAGCTCTTCACGGTTGATGGGCTGGATTTTATTTTGTTGACTATTACACCTGTTTAAATCCCTAAACATACTAAACAAATAAACTCACTCCACACATTCTCTTGTGCCATCTGCATTTACAAAACCCTGTTCTTTAATGCAAACCCTGTTCTGAAACTCTCCCTTGACAGATGTAATAGGACCCATAATCACCACACCAGAAATAAATATCTCTTTGATATCCCCAGTCAAACTAAATCTGTGTAAACACTATGCAAATAAAGGTACCTAGTCAATGGAACTCACTCTCTAACGAATTGAAAAGCTGTCCATCTTTTGCCTTATTCAAAAACAAAAAGTATGTACTGTAATATCATCTTCATAGTTTACCACCTAATGCTTTAAACTCACACTGTATTTAGTTCTACTAAATCCCCCAATATATGTACCTAAGCCACATAACTTTACCATTGTAATCATTAATATCATCTTATATCATGGTTGTTATACTGAACACATATTGTGTGCTATACAGTATATGTATTTAAGCATACAACTTTACCTTATGAACAGTGCTGTCACCTTATATGTGCTATCAGGTGCTTTAATGTGCCTACTAATCTTTGTCAAATTTTCTTACAACGTACCCGTTAACATTTTATAAATTTTGCTAGAAATTACCTACTTATTTTAATATTATTTGTTAGATTAAGGACCTGCCTGAACGGGTCCGTCTAATTACCCAAAGCTACTGAAAGCTTCCTAACAAGTTACCCAAAGCTTCCTAATACTACGTTAGTAATGAATAAATATGATATATTTATTCATTAAAATGTTGGTGCTGAATGTAGAACATGGAAAAACATATTTTTACTCAGAAAAGTATCATTTCATAACGTAATTAGAAGGAAATAAGCAGCTGGTGATGCCAAAGCAAGTCGACTGTCCAAGTGACAATGTTGTGGAGCATCTTATCTAAGACTCATTGTTGCTTGGAGAGTGTTAGCTGATATATCAGCCTTCTGTACCTACCTAACCTAACCAACCTACCCAAACATAAACTAACTAAACCTAACCTATCCAAACATAACTTAATATAACCCTGTAGGCAACAATATATCTTGGATAAGTTGACCAGACCACACACTAGAAGGTGAAGGGACGACGACGTTTCGGTCTGTCTTGGACCATTCTCAAGTCGATTGTGTGTGTATGTCTTGAAGCCTTCTAGTGTGTGGTCTGGTCAACATACTTCAGCCACGTTATTGTGACTCATCGTCTGCATATCTTAGATAAGTCGCTCCACAACATTGTCGCTTAGAGCGTCGACTTCCTATGGCCTCTCATGCCACTTAGTTTCGTCTAATTTCGTTATAAACGTATATTATTTCAGAGCAACAATATGCTTTTTTCCATGTTCTACCTTCAGCACCAACGTTATAGTGAGTAAATATATCATATTTCTTCGTTACTTACGTAATACTAGGAAGCGCTGGGTAGCTTTGGGTAATTAGAAGGACCGGCCCGAAACGCTATAGTACAAGTGGCTTTACAAGAAATGTAAACTCTCTTGCTAGGTACTTGGTACTTGCTTGTTAGGTACTTGCTTGGAGGAAATGTACTCTCAAACCCAATTAACCTTCTTTTATATATAAAATAAATAAAACAATTTAAACTGACCACTGAGTATGGGGTAGTTTTAGGGATGGTTTACAGGTATACTGACTACTGAGCGTGGGGTAGTTATGTGGATAAAATCATCAGGACAGATAGGGGGACCTTTGACAAGACGTCAGCTTCTTGTCCTCGTGGAGGCCACTATAGAGATGGTATCCCTGAGGTAAACTCAGGTATACTGAACACTGAGTGAAGCTCTTACTCACTTAGCTCACCCTCTTGGTCTCTTCGTACACCACTTCGTATACATACATTCTCGCTCACTTTACATCACTATCGCCCACAAGATGGGTATGGGGTGCATAATAAATCAACTAAACTATCTTATATTTAAAACTCTGAACTGTAATGCCAATCCTGACGTTAAACGCTTCCTAGAAGGTTGTAACAGAACCCATAGGTACTACACCAGAAATAAATATCTATCTTTTTTTTATTTTGAATTTGATATTCCAAGAGTGCGCCCTAACCAAACTAGAAATGCTCTACAAATGAAGGGACCCAGAATGTGGAATGACCTTCCCGATTATGTCAAAGGCTGTACCTCTCAACCATTTTAAGAGGAAAACTAAATACCACCTAATAAACTCCATGTAACCTAGCTTACTCCCTAAATTTAGTCAAATCTACATCAGCAGATGTTAAAAACTCCCAGAGGTACTTGTAGCCGAGCCTAAGCCTAGCAGTGGTAACATCTAGAAGTCTGCTAACATCTGTCAGCAGAACTATTCGCATACTTTGCGTCATTATATAATGGAATGTGAAAAAATTCCGGAATTTAGAGATAACACCATCAATAGTGTCCAAGAAATGTGTAAGTACTTCATTCATAATGATGTGCTGCCCGAAATCTTAGCGAAGTATCCAAAATTTGCTTACAGTTTATTTACTTATTTATTTATTTATGCATATGCAAGAATGTACATAAGGAATGTGAGGATACAAATATGGTAATTACAGTCTTGTAAAGCCACTAGCACGCGCAGCGTTTCGGGCAGGTCCTTAATCTAAGAAAATTTTAAGGAGGTAAATACTTGCAAAATTTATAGACAAAAAAATGATAACAGATTACATGAAATGAAAAAAAAAGATGAGAGAAAATTGTAGGTACAGTATATTAAAGCACATAGGTAGCTAAGATTGATTGCAATGACAGCTTGAATGGTAGTTGACAACAAATTGGTAGGCACAATACAGCAGAAACAATATAAGATTGATTGCAATGACAGCATGAATGGTAGTTGACAAAAATTGGTAGTCACAATACAGCATATGGCTAGCACATAAAAGAAGACAGCAATGAACACAATGATAAGGTTGTTTGATATTACATAAAAATTAGGAGATTGGGTAACACTAGGTACAGAGCAAATTTAAAGCTCAGTGTAGGAAACTAAGAAGATGAAGTTAGGTACTTTTTGGTTTTGCTTTTAAATAAGGCAAAAGTTTTACAGTTTTTCAATTCACTAGGGAGTGAGTTCCATAGACTAGGTCCCTTAATTTGCATAGAGTGTTTACACAGATTAAGTTTGACCCTGGGGATATCAAAGAGATATTTATTTCTGGTGTGGTGATAATGGGTCCTATTACATCTGTCCAGGGAAAGTTTCAGAGCATGGTTTGCATTTAAGAAAAAGGTTTTGTAAATGTAGTTGGCACAAGAGAATGTGTGGAGGGAGTTAATATTTAATAAATTTACTGTAGGTAATGCATGCACATGACTATAGCCGCCGCCCAGTTGGGTGGGTGTGGAGCACATAACTGTAAAGCTGCCGCCCAGTTGGGTGGGTGTGGAGCAAGACTAGTAACTGTGTGACACACCATAGATGTAAAGTGCCTTGTATAGTTGTGGTGAGCCTCTTGTTGATCACTTGTGACACAAAGATTATTGATGCATTTGTGTGGGTGATTTGATATGTATGTGTATGTATATATGTATACGTATATATATATATATATATATATATATATATATATATATATATATATATATATATATATATATATATATATATATATATATATATGTGTGTGTGTATATCACGAAAATAAACACGTGATTAAGAATGTGACAATGTCAGACCACGGAGGAAAAATGAAACAGGAAATTTCCTTAAGTACTTTCGTATATTAAATACATCTTCATTAAATATATCTTCAGAATATATATATATGCGAACAAGCCTGAATGGTCCCCAGGACAATAAGCAACTGAATATATATATATATATATATATATATATATATATATATATATATATATATATATATATATATATATATATATATATATATATATATTAGTATATTTTGGTAGCAGTCTTTCCTGTAGACATATACAGCGCACAGCGAACGCACAGCGTTCTGCCCGAAACGCTGTGCGTGCTAGTGGCTTTACAAGACTGTAATTACCATATTTGTATCCTCACATTCCTTATGTACATTCTTGTATATGCATAAATAAATAAATAAATAAATAAATATATTATTAAATATGACCGAAAAAGTAAGATTAATAATTCTAACACGAATTTTCTCAATCTTTCGTACATTACGCTTCACTGTTGGAGGTAAATCAAAAATCACTTCTCCAAAATTCATTTTTATTTCTAGTCTGACGCGACACGGGCGCGTTTCGTAAAACTTATTACATTTTCAAAGACTTCACAAATACACAACTGATTAGAACTTACGTATCTCTGAGTTTATATCTACATTTGAGTGAGGTGGGAAGGATGATGTGGCATTAGAACAAGATGGGATATTAATAGGGTATTAAAAGTATCAACACAAGACAGAACAGAAACAATGGGTATTGAATAGAAGTGTTTGTAGAAAGCCTATTGGTCCATATTTCTTGATGCTTCTATATTGGAGTGGAGTCTACCCACCTCAAGACTCTACTCCAATATAGAAGCATCAAGAAATATGGACCAATAGGCTTTCTACAAACACTTCTATTCAATACCCATTGTTTCTGTTCTGTCTTGTGTTGATACTTTTAATACCCTATTAATATCCCATCTTGTTCTAATGCCACATCATCCTTCCCACCTCACTCAAATGTAGATATAAACTCAGAGATACGTAAGTTCTAATCAGTTGTGTATTTGTGAAGTCTTTGAAAATGTAATAAGTTTTACGAAATGCGCCCGTGTCGCGTCAGACTAGAAATAAAAATGAATTTTGGAGAAGTGATTTTTGATTTACCTCCAACAGTGAAGCGTAATGTACGAAAGATTGAGAAAATTCGTGTTAGAATTATTAATCTTACTTTTTCGGTCATATTTAATATATATATATATATATATATATATATATATATATATATATATATATATATATATATATATATATATATATATATATATATATAAATAAATAAATAAATATGTTTATTCAGGTAAGGTACATACATACAAGTGATGTTACATTAATGGATTGATATATAGATAGAGCTAGCACATACAATGCCTAAAGCCACTATTACGCAATGCGTTTCGGGCAAGAAAAACATTAATATCTAGAACTTAATACTAATTGAGCATAAAGAATAAAAAGTGTTGAAAACAAATTCAAATAAAGATAAAAAAAAGGGGGAACATGACTGAAAAAGCAGCACAAATACAATAGGTTGACAAACAGTGTTGATTAAAAAAAAAAAATAATAATAATAATATAAAATAACAGACATGGGTTGACAATAAAGGAGTGAGGAGGGTTACAGGGAATTTATTAGGTATTGTTTAGTTTTTATCTTAAACTGGTTGAGAGAGGTACAGTCTTTAACATGGCTGGGAAGGTCATTCCACATTCTGGGTCCCTTGATTTGTAGAGCATTTCTAGTTTGATTAAGTCGTACTCTAGGAATATCAAAACTGTATTTATTCCTGGTGTGGTGCTCATGGGTTCTGTTACAACCTTCAATGAAGCTTTTGAGGTCAGGATTGGCATTACAGTTCAGCGTTTTATATATGTATATATAAATTTATATATGTATATATAAGTTTTATATATATATATATATATATATATATATATATATATATATATATATATATATATATATATATATATGTACATGTATGTATGAGGGTGTGTACATGTGTATACAACATTGATAATTTTGTAACTAGCGTCAAACATTGTTATTTGCTTAGCTAAACGAACTAGAGGGTTCAGTTCCTGAACCGATTATGTGCCTCTGTAATCCTTTACACCACCGCCCACGGGATGGGTATGGGGTGCATAATAAAGAAAGAAATTTAATTGATAATTAAAAAAACTTGCAAATAACTTATTATTATCTTAAATTTAACATATAAAAATTCACCTGTAGCATCAGGGCAAATGGGAGACCTTTGACAAGCCGCCTGTTTCCTGTCTTCGTCGGGGCCCTTAGTGTTATTAGCCCTCAGGTAAATTCAGGTAAAAATTAATAAAAAATAAATGGCCAAGCTGGCAACGCTTCTCGAACCTCTGCTCCATTGTTCGGTCATCTCGTCCCCATTTCTTTCGTATAATGCGTTATCGTCTTAAGGATAGTGTGTGTATATGTCGTACCTAGTAGCTAGAATGCACTTTTCGGCCTACTGTGCAAGGCCCGATTTGCCTAATAAGCCAAGTTTTCCTGAATTAATATTTTCTCTTTAGGCAGCTTTACAGTCATGTGCTCCACACCCACCCAACTGGGCGACGGCTATAGTCATGTGCATGCATTACCTACAGTAAGCAAATTTTGGATACTTCGCTAAGATTTCGGGCAGCACGTCATTATGAATGAAGTAGTTTACACATTTCTTGGACACTATTGATGGTGTTATCTCTAAATTCCGGAATTTTTTCACATTCCATTATATAATGACGCAAAGTATGCGAATAGTTCTGCTGACAGAGTTTACATTTAGTCAAATCTACATCAGCAAATGTTACAAACTCCCAAAGGTACTTGTTGCCGAGACTAAGCCTAGCAGTGGTAACATCTAGAAGTCTGCTAACATTATTGGATGACCCATAGACGTGCGGATCTTCATGCATAATAGAATGATGATAGATGATTTTTTTTTCTCAAAGTTAGGATGGAGTAACTGGTGTGAATTTCACTTTGCCTCAAGTCTCCGAAATTTAGTTGATGTTCCTTGGATATTGCTGCCCTCAGGCTGCTCAAAGGCAGTCCAAATTAATTATCAAAATGAGGTAC